ACCGTATATACATTTTGAAAATTCGATCATTAGAGAATGATTAAATGATGTTAAGTAACTACAGTGAAGTTTAGTATTGTACGGACATCGATGATGAAACATCTCAATCCTGCGTAGAATGATTTAGCTTTAGTATTACCAGTTTGAACTCCGCCTGGAGCCCCTTTCCGGGGGCTACTGCCGGTCCCAAGCCCGGATAAAGGAGGAGGGTTGGGCATGGGGTTAGCGACCCCATCCCGTAGAAAACTAACTCGCTAAAAAAACGCTAACCAGAAAGAATTATTCAAACCATTTAAACTCTGCCCTGGGAGTCAGAAGGTCTTCGTTTAGAAGAATTATGACGCCTCACGATGAAAGCCGAGTTTCTTCGGAAGTCACGAGGCCGATGCCCCTTCTGACAACCAGAGCAACCATTTATTTAGGTACATGGAATGCTCGCACAATGTGGGAGACGGGGAGAGTTTTCCAAATTGCCGCAGAAATGAGGAGATACAATTTAGAGGTGCTTGGGATCAGTGAAACACATTGGACGCAAGTTGGACAACAACGACTAGCTTCAGGGGAGCTGCTGTTATACTCCGGACATGAACAAGAAAATGCTCCACATACACAAGGAGTTGCATTGATGCTGTCCAAACAAGCACAAAATGCACTTATAGGATGGGAATCTCATGGACCAAGGATCATCAAAGCCTCCTTCAAAACAAAGAAAACGGGGATTACAATGAACGTCATCCAATGCTATGCGCCTACCAACGAATACAACGAAGACGCTAAAGATCAATTCTACGATAGGCTTCAGTCAATCGTCGAGAAGTGCCCAACAAAAGACCTGACTATTCTAATGGGAGACCTAAATGCCAAGGTTGGAACTGACAACACCGGATATGAAGAGATCATGGGACGACACGGACTGGGAGAAAGGAACGAAAATGGTGAGAGATTTGCAAATCTATGTGCCTTCAATAAACTGGTCATAGGCGGGACTATATTCCCACATAAACGCATCCACAAAACCACATGGACTTCACCGGATCACACCACACAGAACCAAATCGACCATATCTGCATCAACAAAATGTTCAGGAGGACGATGGAGGACGTGAGAACAAAGAGAGGAGCTGATATAGCATCAGATCATCACTTGTTGGTCGCCAAGATGAAATTGAAACTCAAGAGGCACTGGACAACGGGGAGGACAATATCACAAAAATTTAATACGGCTCTTCTTCGCGATACGGACAAACTCAATAAATTCAAGATAACCCTCAGCAATAAGTTCCAAGCCTTTCATGATCTACTCAATGGAGAAGGAACTACTATGGAGAGCAACTGGAAAGAGATAAAAGAGGCAATCACTTCAACATGTCATGAGGTTCTGGGCCAAAACAAGCACCATCACAAGGATTGGATCACAGTCGATACACTGGATAAGATTCAAGAAAGGAGGAACAAGAAAGCAGCAATCAATACCAGTCGAACAAGAGCAGAAAAAGTCAAGGCACAGGCTGAATACACAGAAGTAAACAAGCAAGTGAAAAGGAGCATCAGAACTGACAAACGTAAATATGTGGAGGATTTGGCATTGACGGCGGAAAAGGCTGCCAGAGAAGGAAACATGAGACAACTGTATGAAACAACAAAGAAACTCTCTGGAAATCACCGTAAACCAGAACGGCCAGTGAAAAGCAAGGAAGGCAAGATAATCACCAACATTGAAGAACAACGAAACAGATGGGTAGAACACTTCAAAGAACTCTTGAATCGACCAGCCCCACTGAACCCACCCAACATCGAAGCAGCACTCACGGACCTCCCAATTGATGTTGGCGCACCAACAATTGAAGAGATCAGCATGGCTATCAGACAAATCAAGTGTGGCAAAGCAGCAGGACTAGACAGCATTCTAGCAGAGGCACTGAAAGCAGACGTAGCGGCAACTGCAAGGATACTCCACATTCTCTTCAGAAAGATCTGGGATGAGGAACAGGTACCAAAAGACTGGAAAGAAGGACTTCTAGTCAAAATACCAAAGAAAGGCGATCTCAGCAACTGTGACAACTACAGGGGAATCACTCTTCTTTCAATACCAGGAAAAGTCTTCAACAGGGTATTGTTAAACAGGATGAAGGACTCCGTAGACGCCCAACTTTGCGACCAACAGGCAGGATTCCGTAAGGATAGATCGTGCACAGACCAAATCGCAACTCTACGGATCATTGTGGAACAATCAATTGAATGGAATTCATCACTCTATATCAACTTCATCGACTACGAAAAAGCATTTGATAGCGTGGACAGAACAACCCTATGGAAGCTTCTTCGACACTACGGCGTGCCTCAGAAGATAGTCAATATCATACAGAATTCCTATGATGGATTAAACTGCAAAATCGTGCATGGAGGACAGTTGACAAAGTCGTTCGAAGTAAAGACTGGTGTTAGGCAAGGTTGCTTACTCTCACCCTTTCTCTTTCTCCTGGTGATCGACTGGATCATGAAGACATCAACATCTGAAGGGAAGCACGGGATACAGTGGATAGCTAGGATGCAATTGGATGATCTAGACTTCGCAGATGATCTGGCTCTTCTATCGCATACACAACAACAAATGCAGGAGAAGACAACCAGTGTAGCTGCAGCCTCAGCAGCAATAGGTCTCAATATACACAAAGGGAAAAGCAAGATTCTTCGATACAACACAACATGTACCAATCCAATCACAATTGACGGAGAAGCTTTGGAAGATGTAGAAACCTTTACATATTTGGGCAGTATCATCGATGAACACGGTGGATCTGATGCAGATGTGAAGGCACGGATTGGCAAAGCAAGAGCAGCATATCTACAACTGAAGAATATCTGGAACTCAAAACAATTAGCAACCAACACCAAAGTCAGAATTTTCAATACAAATGTCAAGACAGTTCTACTGTATGGCGCGGAAACCTGGAAAACTACGAAATCCATCGTCCAAAAGATACAGGTGTTTATTAACAGTTGTCTACGCAAAATACTTCAGATCCGCTGGCCGGACACTATAAGCAACAACCTACTGTGGGAGAGAACAAATCAGATCCCAGTGGAGGAAGAAATCAGGAAGAAGCGCTGGAAGTGGATAGGACACACATTGAGGAAAACACCCAACTGCGTCACAAGACAAGCCCTCATATGGAATCCTCAAGGTCGAAGGAGGAGAGGAAGACCAAAGAATACATTACGCCGGGAAATGGAGATAGATATGAGAAAAATGAACAAGAATTGGATGGAACTAGAAAAGAAGGCCCAGGACAGAGTGGGTTGGAGAATGCAGGTCGGCGGCCTATGCTCCATTGGGAGTAACAGGCGTAAGTAAGTAAGTAATTACCAGTTTGGCTGTTATTGAATTAATCTCTGTCGTTGTCATTTATCATTCTATATACCTTATAGCCTAATATCAATAATATTCATGTTAAAAGTCAAGGTACGGTATTTTGAAGTAATTCACAATTATAACGTAAAATATTGCGAAAGTTCATTTAGATAGCTACTGCAAGTATGGTAAGTATTATATGAATGTTCATCAAAAAACGATTTTTGCCATCCTAAAGGACAGTCTGAAAACTGTTTAATTAATGAGACTGGCGTAAATGTTCTGTAGATCTTATGTTTAAATTATAGCTAGAGGGTAACTGCTGTTCTTATCTGACTTCAACCTTGTTTTAACTTTGAAAAATATAGAGGGCTTGATATACATGAAGTTCCTAAAACCAGAAATATTTTAAGATCAAAATTCAACGAATCAGCCATATGTAGAATAAATCGTGACTTTCAACTTTAGGTGGCTGAAAATGTACCAAAATAGTTTTCAATACGAATAATGTAAATGATCTACAAACAGATGAAAAATACCCACCTCCATCCATTTCCAAACGCATTTGAAACTGGTTATAAGGTTGATCTTAACTCAACTTTCAGGGTTTTGTATTAAAATTGTTTAGAACGAATACCGAGGTTTGTTGAAGCTCAAACAATATGAAAATCTCCAGTCGCCCAGTTCCATGAAAGTTCAAAAATCATTTATACTAACATCAAACATGCTCTGCTAATACTAATTTACTATCCAGAGTGATGTGGCTTACATTACCTTTGTTTTTAATTATTTCACAATTTATCTAATCTGACACTTATATTTTTCAATAATGTTTTATGGACAAGTTTATGCATGATCAAATTGCTGTTCGAAATCTATCGCACTATTTGATTCGTTACATGGTTCTGATAAACTCGTCTTCTAATTGGATTATCTAACCTTTCAAAGAAATCAACAACAGATTGAAAGTTGTCAGGCAAATTGATTAGTTTATTAGGTGTTTCCAAAGCAACTCATAACAATAATATCATTAAATATTTTAATACCAGTAATAATAATAATAACAGTAGTAATATTCATAATGGTCAGAATAGTAAAATACGTCCATAACCTTGGAAAAAAAACAACTTCAGGACGAATGGATAATTAACATAAACCAAGACATTAACAATATTGACAGAGCTCCAATCCTTATTCCAATGTCTTTATTTACTGATACACACACACCCTTATACACTCAAACCCAATGAATGAAATAAATGACAAATACAGTAGTCCCACGAAACCAATAGTCAGCATAAAAAGCTGTAATCTATTATTTGTTGATATTAGATTGCTTGGATTTACGTGTCTGTGTCACTTTTTTGTTGATAAACTTACCTCCAGCGTACAGTGTACACAGGTAAGTCTAGGGCATAGAAAGATTGTTTTAATTAGTTGTGATGATATAATATTACATCACAGATTGTAGATTAATTAATCCACTGTATATAAACAGTGCCACAACAATTATAGGGCAGAGAATAGTAGATAGTAACGACGTCAATAATAATAATAATAATAATAATAATAATAATAATAATAATAATAATAATAATAATAATAATGATAATAATCACCCTTTAAAGCAATATAAATAACAAGCGATAAAATTTAAAATTAATTTATATATATATAAGAATATAAAATAAAATAAAATATGTTAGTACTATGCGTAAAACAATAGAACAAAATTGAACATTCAAAAAAAATTAATAACCATATTGAAACACTGAATGAATTTATTAAATGATTACACCGATGATAATTTCTGTTTTTAGAAATCAATAATATACCATTTAGTTACTATCATGGTTACTGTGTTTATTGTTGTGCAATTGTAGACTAGTTCCATTCCAATTTATTTGTATAATGTTAGTATATGTGCGCTTGTATCATTCGGGTATTAAAAATGAGTTATTATTATTATTCTATTTTTAGTATAATGTAGAAGTGGGTATTCGAAATGAATAGTATCAATCGAACTGGATTCCTTAGTATCAAATAATAATAACAACAACAACAAAAATTATTGAAGCATAAGCTATTTCAATAGAAATAATGCGAAAAAGCACCGAAAAGAAATTGAAATAAATTGTTAAGCAATAATAATGCTAGTAATAGTAATAATAATGGTAATAGTAATAAGTATCATTATTATTATTGTTATCACTATTTTAATTACCAATAATCAATGATTATAATAATAATAAAATGAGAAAAATCAGAAAGAAAAAAGTTTGATAAATTCCCAGATTCCTTTTCCCCTTCCACAATGAAAACCCAAATGTATATTGTAACAATTGAATATGCTCCAGTTTGTAGCTATTTTTTTCTAGTTTTCAGAAACAGAAACGTCTAAATCTTCATTGATTGGATGTTCTACTGAATATTTCAGTGTTAATTCACGAATTTCACCTAGACAAAAGAAGAAACGTATATGTTACAGTAAAATATTTTAAAAATCCCAATAAAGTATTCAGAATTGATTGCATCAAATCCTCTATTTATTTATTTCTGTCTTGCCCCATTCATAATTTAAAATTCATTTCGTTTCACTTCACAAGAATTCCTGATCTTTAATTAAGCTGACAACATTCCTTTTATTGAGCATTTTTATTCACATGCCTTTTATCATTGAGCTGAGTAGGTCAATAGCAGTTGAGAATTTCGTTAATTTTTGACGGTCATTTGTATTAATGGTTAACTTGAAGGTCTTTGATTTAATTAGGATAAGGAAAGCTTGTTTTAATCAGAATCTATAGTTTAGTGAGGATGTAAAAGGCTGAAAATCATAAAACCATGTTAACCATGTCAATTAAAGAATGAGATAGATTGAAATTAATTGATTCATGGGCAGTGTTTTCAAATATCCAACATTCATTACATCACACTATACTATTGGGGGACAAAGTCCGACTTGCGACTCCACGTCGTGCTCCCTGTCAGTCAGTCAGTAGTGATAGGGAACATTAGGGATGATGATGTTATTTAAGGAGTATAATCCAGTGGAATAGATTTGGAAAGAAAATAAACGACATACAGAATTCAGAAAATTGGAGTTTGAGAGAACACAAAGAGTGGATGCACCTGCGCCATTGCAAACGATTTTGAGCCATGTCATTCAAGATCTCTAACCATCGGTTGCTATAATCTCGCGGTCCCCAACCAGGTAGTCTACACCTACCAACATGGCTCAGTCCACTTGTCAGAGACTTCATGGATTCGTGCCATGTTTTGGTCTGGCCGCCCCTAGCTTTCTTCCAACCTACTCCTACACCATAAAACATCGCTCGTCGCGGCAATCGGTGGTCGTGCTCCCTGGATAGTGGATCATCTCTTTCAACATGAACTAATGCAAGCGGCGCCGCGGAGATCGAAATGGCCAACCACTCCGCAGTCAGATGGAAATCGGGCTAATCACCAACTCTGTGTTAATTTCGACTACATGAGAAGAGAAGTCGGTATGAGTTGGGAGTGCGATTGGGGCATTGGGTGGTCTAACATCAATCGGTTCATGATCTCAATCAAAAAAATTATCTTTGTATTGGTTAAACGGAAAATATACAAGATTATTTTGAATGTGGTATTGACAACAATTTGACTTTAGCTGTAAAACTACTGAAACTATTGGAATTCCTAACCAGTAATCACTGACATTTTTAAACACAGTCTAATATAAGACCTCTGAGTTGAAATCCAATAGTTCATGTTCTCAGATTCAATCAATTTATGATTAGGAATGATCTTTTTCCAGTGTTATCAATGACTTATTGTCTTACTCCTTATTTGTTTGAATCGACAACTTCCATTTTGAAACCTTATGAAGCTTATTATTATTCCCACAACTAACGTCAGTTTGTAAGGAAAATTACCCTCAGGTTATACAAAATATCTTTACAAGATCATTTGGGGAAAGAAGATCATTTATAAACACTAGTTCATAAGTTAGATGATTGAAGGTATGTTGGTACGAAACCTTGGAAATATATTTCACGATAATTGTCACTAGTCAGTAAGGCGTATCAGCACTCTTGGGGGGAATTAATATTCTCTGTGAAGTTTCAATCAAGTTCATCCAGCTTCCAACCAACTGTATCCAAATGAATAACAATAAAATATAGTGTACACAATTTCGAGTCACTTGGAATAGTGGCCCGATTGGAACTTGATCAATAGGATTCAAGCAACGCCAAAGGACTACAAAAAATGACATTATTTACTATTCAATGGTCAGTCAGTTGTAAACTGGTTCATAACTCTCTACGTTACAGCACATTTTGAAATCAGCTGTTAATCTTATCTACTCACAATTTCTAAAAGCCACATTGTGATTTGTAATAGTTTATCGATTAGTAAACCAACCTTTTGATTAAGGGATTAGAATTCGAGTGTGTTAACATGAAGTATGTATTGTAAATCAGAGATTAATTGAAGAAATCTAATCTGAATTTCAATAGTTATTAGTAATTCCCAAGTTTATAATGACATTATTTAAAAATTTAACTCACCTGGACCTAGATCCAAGTCCCATTCAACATTATTGAATTTATTCATTCTGATTGGTCTATTTTTATCATATTTTTCTGGATGTTTAATTGTCGGCTCTAAAAGGCTAACCTAATTAGTGTACAATTAAAATGAGAAATGATTGATATTGTGAAGACAATCTTATTTATTGATTTATTTATTCAATAATATTTTATTACAAAGAAAGAAACACATGTCATCGACGGGTAATTCTCGAACATATAGTCGACCCTGGTCACCTATTGCTACAAGATTCATTCTTCACTATTATCTAGAAAGTCAAAAGAACTTGTTCAAAGAAAGTTCGGTTTAAAAACTTGTACACCGTTGTAGATTTGACAAACCATTAATCCATATCTTATCCCTGTGTACAGAAATGTTCAATCCCTTATTCTACGATGATCTTAGTAGTTTTTCAATTTGTTAGTGTTAATTATTAACTTATTGTTCACGTTTATATTTTTAAAGTAGATAATCATTTTTCGTATTTCTTTTTGTAAATTAGTAACCTGGAAACTATTTCTAATTTTTTATTGCTTTATAAAAAATAATGCAATGCCTATTCATTTTTTGATAGATAATCATATTCTATACCAGAAAAGTTCAGTTACCTTTGATAAATTTTTTCAATGAAATGAAACTCCTCTATTTGATATTAAGCTACCATGTGAAATAATATAATCGAAAAAGATAATTTCCTACATTGAAACATCTTTAATCATGGTATTATTTCATTGAAATCATGAATCGATGAGCGCTAGATCACCATTGAAATCTTGGAAGCACTGGAGGAGTCCCATCCTAGGAGAAAACGGCCGTTCAGTGCTTCCAAGTTTTCAATGGTGGTCTAGCTTAGAACAACTCATGAGTTGAACTATGAAGATTCCAATTTTATCATATCTACAACCCTAGAACTAGAATGAAAATCAAGACATATTAGCTAGGTAACTGAATTGGGCTTTTGTGTTCCTAACTTAAAATTTTAGGGTTTGAGTTCCAAAAAAAGTAATAAAATATACTTTAGGTGTTCAGATTATAGTGCATAGTCAAACCATTATGAACAATATGACATGAGAAAAAGCCTGAAAGTCAGTCAACACTTTACCTTATTTTATAAAATATATCTACATTATCTCTTTATTGATAGCCTTTTTTATAACAAGTTGAACATTTAAAATGAGACTTACAAGCTGACTTACAACAAGTTATACAAGAGGATAATTTTTAAAATATTGGTTATTTGTAGTCATCACAATTAGGAAATGTTTTATTCTAGCTAATCAAGGGAAAACTAATTGATATCATTTTGGATTACAAATTATCATAGTAATAGTTTGGTATGAAGTCATTTTCATAACTGTAAATATATAGAACTTCTACTTATATTTCTCTTATCTTCAGTTTGGAGCTCAGGTGTACGGGATTTTCTGGGTGGGACTAGAAAGCGGCAGGAAAATAGGGTTCAAGTATTCAAGTACAAACATATCATACATGACTCAATTACGATTGTTTTTATCAGTGGTTTTAATAAAATTACTCAAATGAATGATATTTGATAGGCAGTAAGGAAATAAAATGAATTATTCTGAAAAAAATTAAGAAAAAACAAATTAGGAATCAAACGTAGAAACAATTTCAAAAGTTAGAAATGTAAAAACTGAAATTCTTACTTTAATTTTATCCTCTGCACTGACTGGGACCTGATCAACAACCATTAGACGTACACGACGATCAAATGTATTACGTACTTCAATTAGTTGTTTAAATGTCATTGTAGCATTTTTTCCGCTCGAACCGGTACCTTCACGATATTTGAATAATGGGCGATACAGTATTTTTATACCATTCTCAGCGCCTAAGTGACAATTAAACTCTTCACCTGGAGCGACAGCACGTATTTCAGACTAAGAAGAAAATTTTTAAGGTCACATTTATTTGTAGAACTCATTTAATCCTAATGAGGTGTAAATGAAATATTTTAAAGCAATATAGCTTTATTATGTAAAAAATAACTCTACATGTCACTTTTTTGGTCTTATTGACGGCCCTATGGACATGGAGTTAACAACTCCGACCCAATAGAAAACAATCTTGCTAAGAAAAAAGTGCTAACTAAAAAAGTCATTTAAACCATTTAAACAATGTCTATAGGGTTGGACAGTCTTCATGTAGTGGAGTTATAACACTTCATGATGAAAGCCGAGATTCTCAGAAAGTCACGACACCTATGCCCTTTCTAACAGTCAGAGAAACAATTCACATAGATAAGTGGAATATATTTAAAATGGTGGAAAACTGGGAGGACTATTCCAATAGCTGAAGAAATGAGAAAAATACAAACTGTTGGTACTTGGAATGAGTGAAGGCCATTGAACGGAAGCTGGACAGAAAAGATTAGCTTTGAGAGAGGTTCTATTGTCCTCTGGTCATGAAGGGGATGAGGCTTCGCACACCCAAGAAGTTGCACTAATACCCTCTAAAGAAGCACGATAAGCACTTATAAGATAGGAATCTCATGAGTCCAGGATCAACAAAGTGTCCCACAAAACGTTATCCAGTGCGATGCACCCACCAGTGAAAGCAATGGAGATTACTAAAACCAGCTTTACAAGAGGCTGAAGTCGATTGTACAAAAGTGTCCAGGATATAACCTGGCCATCCTGATGGAAGACCTAAATGCCAAGGTCGGAATGGACACGATCGGGTATGAAGATATCATGGGACGATATGTGCTTGGAGAAAGGAATGAGAATGGTGAGAGAATTGCAAGTCTATGTACCTTCGACAAATTGAATATAGATGGCATCATATTCCCGCACTAAGTTACAAAGGTTTCATTGAGGACATAGGAAAAAGGAAAGAAACTGACATAGCTTCAGATCAGCACACAGTGGTGGCCAAGCTAAAACTGAACTTAAAAAGTGCTGAACAACTGCACAAACAGCATTACAAATGTCTAATACAACTTTCCTTCCAGATACTGATAAACTCAATGAGTTCAACATAGGTTTCAGCAACAGGTTTCAAGCCTTACAATAACTACATAAAAAAGAAAGCACTATGGAGGACAACGGTGAAGGGGTCAAAGAAGTAATAACTTCAACATGACAGAAGGTGCTGGGCCTCAAGAAGCACCGGAATAAAAAATAGATCTACATCGAAACCCTGTTCAGGAGCATTAGAATTTGCGTGAAAGATCTATCAATGAAAGCGGAAAAAGCTGAAAGAGAAGGAAATATGAAACAACTTTACAATACAACGAAAAAACTACCTAGGGAATTTGGTAAAAGAGAGAGACCAGTCAAGAAGAAAGAAACCATCAAAACAGCACACACAGACGTTATTGTAGATGTTATCCCACCAACAATCGAAAAAATCAACATACCCACCAGGCAAATCAAGAGAGGAAAATCAGCAGGATTAGACAACATATCAGCTGAAGCACTTAAGCCAGACATTCAGGTAACTGCAAAGATGCAAAGATGTTCAGAGCAAATCGAAACATTACGGATCATTGTTGAGCAATTAGTTGAGGGGAACTCGTGACTATACACCAACCTCCTTGACCGTGAAAAATAGATAGAATAACATTATAGGACCTTCTTTACCACTATATTGTGCCTGAGATCGTAACCGGCATACAGAATTCGTGCGACGGACTACATTGAGATGTTTTGCATGGAGAATAGCTTGTAGTGTCTGTCATTATGTTAAGCCCAAATACCTCATTATTCTAACTTTCGGACAGCCCATTCTATTCATTCTATTTGAGTCACATTCTGACCTTGTTAATTATTCGCTTATCAATGTCTTGACTGTCTTTGTATGAGCGCGTAGGCGTATGCACACTTCTTATCCCGTTACTCATCACATGTCTGTAATTTATTTTTGTGGGCTTATAAATATTCATTAACTCTTTGTTAAAGGGAGAGTTGGCTTACCAGCCATCTCCACCGCGCGCCAATTTAGCTTCGCTTTCTAATCTTCGCATCGTTCCTCCGTTCGTTTGTCTAATCAACAATTATACGAAATATATGCATTCGAAACTCCATTCTCGTTATTTGACTTATTTAATTTCGTTATTAACTAACGCGATTTAAGTCAATGATTATATACGAGGATAGACGATAGCAACCAATCATTACGATCAAATTGGAGTCAGATCACGGGCCACTAAAAGCTGACAGATGCTTTCTAAATGAGGATCCATGTCAAACATAGCTGTCTACTCTAGCATTTTTACTTTTTTTCGGTGGTTGACTGGATTATGAAGACCTCCACATCTCGGGAAAGGATGAATACAATGGGCGGCTTGGATGAGAACAGACGATTTGGACATTGCAGATGGCTTAGATCTTCTATCCCATAAAAAGCAACAAATACAGGTGAAGACAGACTGTGTAGTAACAGCCTCTTCAGAAGTAGATTTTAAAATTCACAAGGGAAAAAGCAAGATGGTGAAATGCTATATGATGGACACCAATCGAATCACACTTGATGAAGAAGCTCTGGAAGAGGTGGAAATATTCATTCATAAGTAAGAGGATCTGATGTACATGTGAAGGAACGTACTGGGAAAATTGGAGCACAATTCCTATGATTGAAGAACATAAGGAACTTAAAAAAACTTACAGTTTACAAAGTCAGTCTTCAGTGCAAGCGTTTAGACAGTTCTATCTACCTGCACTAATAATAAGGACTAGACAAGCATGACATTGGTCACCACCCAGTGATCAATCAATTGTGATTACATCTCAGCCCTACAGGAGGTCGGTCGCGGCCCGGATAGCTCAGTGGTAACATCTCTGACTGTGAAGCTGGGTGACACGGGATCGAATCCGCCAGGGAGCACCAGTTCCCTCAAAGATTACAGGTACACCTTGCTGACGAGTGCCAAGTAGCACGAAACCCGGGCCCAGGGTTTCTTGTCGACTACCTCCAATCACCATCTAGACAGTTCTATCGTACAGAGCTGGAACTTGAAGAACTACATCCATCATCAAAAGTACGGGTATTTGTAAACAGATTTCCACTCACGTTACTTCATATTTGTTGGCTGGGTGTTATCAGCAACAGTCCACTGTGGGAGAGAACAAACCAGCTTTCAGGTGGAGAGGAAATTAAGAAAAGTTGTTGAAGGTAGATGGGACATGCACTGAAGAAATCATAAAACCACATCACAAAGACTAAAGGAGACTAAAGCAAATAAGACAGATCGAAGAACACATTGTGGCGGGAACTAGAGGCAGGCGTCAAAAGAATGAATAGTACTTGACAACAACTGAAAAGGAGAGTGGAGGATAGAGTCAGTTAGGAAATCCTGGTCTCCAGCCCATGCTCCACCAGGGCTAACAGGCTTAAGTAAATAATGTAAAAACTAAAAGTTGCCAATTATGGTTTAATCTTTTAGTTGTAATGTCCGCTGCCACAACTAGGCGGGTGGTAATCTATGATTGGCATGTGGAATTTCCATATATATCGCATTGGTAATTGCACAAGAGTAAGGTGATTTGATTGATGACCACTTTACAGACAGGTTTGACAACTAGCAAAGTGGCTACTATTCAATGAGAGCGCTAATTACAACAGTTTCCTGTAAACTTACAGTAGCATATTCCAGTGATTTTTGTTTGAATCTTTGGTGATAAAGAATGCTATCCGCTCGTAAATAGAATTTATCTGTGAACAATAGTAATGGCATCCAGTTATGACTCAAAAGAATAATTGAAAGAATGACCTATTTTGATGGTGTATTGTTCTCTGAACTGGATGGTTTAATCGTGAATATTTCCTTGCCTCTCGATAACATCATCAGTAAAGATTAATAGAAAGTGAGTTTTCAGAATTTCGCCACAACTCAATAGCTGTTTACTCTGTTGACTTAGAATTTGGTTACTTGTTGTCCATATATGTTTGACCCTTGTTTATGTGTTTGTTTTGATCATTTTCACCTCCGACCTCGTCTTTTAACTTGAAAACATTGAAATTTACAAGGTCTATCAACCACAAGGGAAAAAGGAACGAATCGAGAGAAGAGATTTCTTTTCAATTAGTTTTTCATCATGTCTGTACACTAATATATATGATTTACAATAATGAAAAGATGAACAACTCCAAGATCATAGGTTAGTCTGGAGGTGAAAATGATCAAAACAAACAACTATTGAGTTGTGGCGAAATTTTGAAAACTCACTTTCTATTAATCTTTACTGATGATGTTATCGAGAGAGACAAGGAAATATTCACGATTAAACCATCCAATTCAGAGAACAATACACATTCAAAATCCTCATCCTGAGTTATAGATATTCTCCACAATCCCAAAATGACCTATGGTATTAGGTCTTCACAATAAAATATATGATATTAGCAATATAATTAATAATACCGATACAAAGATGGTAATAAATGACTTACTTTTCCAATAAAAGTATTATCGGCATATATGTTAGTTGGACCAGCCAAGATAGAAAATTCTGTATTGTTCACGGCTGTCGCTTTCAAATAAGCATACAAAGAACGCTTTGGCACAGTTACGTATTCATAACGTGGTTGTAAATCTAACAACCCGACAGTGACACGGTTAGGTTCATTATCACACCGAATTATTGCCGGGGGTCGTGGGACCTCCAGTTGTATCGTTGCAACTGTTCCGACAGGCGGTGCAGATTGTTGTGGTGTAGGCAATAGTGGAGGTTGTGAATTCATTAAAGTAGAAATCCGATTTGATAACAAAGGACTCTGAGAGGTGACGGAGTTAAACAACATACTTGATCCTAATGTACGTCTACTGATAGGTCTAGTGCTAGAGGAACGTAATCCAGTTGCATAAGTACTTTCAATACTACCACCACGTTGCAGTGTTCCAGATGGTGTGATACCATCACGCTGAAAACAAAGCGAGAAGTACAAAAATTATTGATAATGTATATTACTTTAACTTCATATAATGATGTAAACCTCATTTTGTGAGTCAAGTTGTTTATTAAGAGACAAAAACTCTAAATATTAAGTAACCATAAAATTTGTTGCCGTTAATTGCAAACTACGATCCCAATAATTGATTACTAAAAACAGCTTGTATTAACCGGTTGGTCCACTACGTAAACTTAATGATGACTAGTCTTTCTCATGTAGATTTTGTCAATGTTACTTCTATTTGCTGTATTAATCGTTGAAGATTAATATAAAAGGTGATTTTATCTTACAATGAAAATGATACAGAAATAGTCCTTCTAATATGGATACTATCAGTAAAACTGTTCAGTAAAACTTCGTTCATTTCACTTATATTCAAAGCAAACGTTTAACTAAGTCATTTGATTACTGTCGCCTAAATTGGTAAATATTCATACATCGTGTAAATGCTTAAAAAGATTGGGAATTTCATAATTAAAGTTCATATTATCACGACCACATAAAGTTGTTTAGTCGAATTTTCAATGAGTTTCCATTTAGATACTATGTAAAGTGTAAGTAATCGTTTAAAATAATACTTAAGACCTGATGTACATAGCATTTCCTTGGAGATCAACATTACAGTAAACTAACATAATATATCTGTCTACTTTATAATAATTCGTCTATTGTATTCAATTGTTTCTTCCTGTTCATTCTCATTCAAAAACATTTCAAACAGTTAACTTAATTTTCAGTTTGATTAAAGACTACATAAACATAGTAATTACTGAATGTCCATATCATATAATTTAAATTATATGATTAAACAGAAAGACGTATTTCGGTAATTAATAGGAGTGTGACAAAATGTGAAACATTTATACAAAAAGGAGTTTGTCAAGACTATCGAATTGTATAGTTTACATCACGGGTTAATCTAATTTAGACAATTATGGAAAACTAAGAAGCACTGAACACCATCCAAGCAATGTACATACACGAAAGTAACTAGGAATCGAATCCAGAACCTTCAGGGTAGGCGGTTAGGACTTAACCTTTAGACTTATGTGTTAGTACATAACTGTTCTCATTTCTAACTTCAATTTACATTCGTTGATCAAACAGACAATGAACCAGTAATAGTGGAGCAGTCACAAAATTGTTGGAATTAGGAAGTAGTAAAATTTTCAAGTTCCAATTCAGCTATTGACATATTCATTTATATTTAAGTATTTATTGCAGATTCATTAATGTTGATGAATAGTACGTTATAATGAATTAAGCATTTGTTTAGTGATTTGAGTATTCAAATTCATTTGGTATTGTTTACTTGAATCTTTCCATTGATATTGCATTCATTCACAAGCATTATAAACAAAGATGGATAGTGAAATGCAGGTACATTCAGCTGACGAGTCCTAAATAGGACGAAACGCGTGTCAAACTGGATTCCACTGCTAGCCATTATCCATCTTTGCTCATAACCTTAATTATAGTATTTTTATTCATCTGATCGTATGTTTAGGCTTGTATGAAGGTACATTATTTCATGGACTTTGTACCTGTCGTAGTGCTAATTAAAAGTTATAAGAGAATGAAAGCATTATATCATTTCCTATAATCAAATAACCAGTTTTTATATATGATGAATTTTACTAACTTATTAAAACAAAAAAACTTCTATAATATTATAAATAACTAATATTATGGTGGTTGACAGATATAAGTAGTATACAGCAACAATCGGAAGTGGAATGTATCCTAGCAGAAGATAGCGAATTGAAGAGAAAAGAAAGGAAAACAGAGAACAATTGTAATAACAACGAAATTGAAAGAATCATGAAGAATGTAAAACACAACTGATGGAAGAAGTGACATAATAATATATATTTTAATGAAGTGTATACTTAAGTCATACAAGTCTTTTAATAAATGTAATTAAGAAAAATATTTATGTAATTTAATCATTGATTGTTTATTAAGAATTACTTTAACAACTCATCTGTTCGGTAGATATTATATATATATATATATATATATATATATATCCCGCTCGCGGGATCGTGGATGCCCTCTGCTGAGGAGTCCCACAATAGGACGAAACAGCCGTCCAGTGCTTCCAGGTTTTTCATGATGGTTTACCTTCAACGGACTCCTGATCCTAACCATTGAAATTACTATAATATCCACAAAACCCCTTCTGATATTAAAATAATATTGTTAACTACTAATTAATGCAAATACCACAGTCCTACAGGAAGTTAGTCGCTGTCCGAATAGCTCGGTGATCATATATTAGACTGTAAGACGAATTGATTAGTATTTGAATTTACCAGAGGGTATGAATTCCCTCGAGATTAGAGATAGGCCTTGACGTCAAGTATTGACTAATCTGAAATCTATGTTAAACATTTCTTATCAACTGCCCCCAACCACTCTCTATTTTGTTTTGATTTAAATGAATAATTTACCATTTATTGAATATATATTCATTTGAAATAAATTAGCCGTTTATAAAATCAAATTTAAGACAATAATATGTTCATTCTATTTGATTTTTATTGAGATCATGAACTGATCAATATTAGCCTACCACTGAAATCCTGGAAGCACAGGATGGTCGCTTCGTCCAAGTATGGGATTCATCATCAGTGCACACCCACGATCCCATAAGTGGGACCTTCATTCTCGCGCAAACACTTAACCTCTAGACCACTGAGCCGAAATCTAACGGTGTCAATATTTAAGTTCAAATAATCCATGATATTGCGCAACTATGTTATTCTAGACATAATCTGATCATAAATTATTTTATTTTTTCAGCCAAATGTGTGAACGATTTATAATTCAATAACTTAGTAATATTAATAACAGTGAGTGCATTTATTAAACTCATATACAATAAATGACCTCTAATTAATAATCATTAAAATAAAAAATCGAGTAAACACTTAAATGAACCCCTTTAGTTTATCGTAAGTCTTTAAATTCAATAAAGAAATTGATAACACATTGACTACCAAATGAAATGAAATGAGAGGAAAATAACTTTGAATAAGTAATTAATAATTTAAAGCATAACTATTAGTAATAAGAATACAATAAACAGAGAAATGAACAAATATCAGATTTAAAAGTTGACGTTACAACTTCAAATCAAAGTTATTTAAAGAAAAAATTGACAATTTAAACAGTATAAAAAAGATACTGTACAAAACAAATTTGAAGAAATTTAAAATAACCGGATCTATTAACGACAACAAAAAATATCGTTGCTAACCCCTTGAACTCTTCAAAATATATTTATTAAGCTTAGCTCTAGAAATAATCATATAACCCAATAAACAAACGGGTCATCATATATCAGAGATATATGAGTATGCCGAGATAAATGATTGAATTTAGAATACCTATATATCGGCAGCTAAATTCGATCTAAGGTCTCCCCATGGCGCTGCCGGACAGTAGGGGCAACCTTGCTGGTTAGTTTGGGCGTCGTCGGAGATCAGGCTAGTTCTTTGTTCTTCTGTAGACCACATTAACTAGTTCCCTTTTTTTCAAGGCTCACCAAAAGTCCTACGGGCTTCCCGATGTTTAATGCTTATGTATATGAATTGCGTGAGTTCAGGCTTATGTGGTTTATGTATATTGGCATATCCAAAGGGTACGTGCGTGGGCTGGCACAAGGAATGTGAACTGAAAAATGTCTGCCTTATGTCTAATAAAACCAGCAGCCTAATACATGAGGTCAAAAACATAATAAAAATGTATGGTAACAAATACTAGGGAGAGGTGACCATCAACCATTCCTAAAAGAGTGCTTACGCTTACGTACGTGACATGAAGTGCAATTGTCGAAGTCGTTGTACCAGCGATATGCATGTAATGCGTAAGTGACAGTCAGCTGTAGCAAGTGCATTGAAAGAGAGTGGTGACCACCTACCCTCCCAGGTTGGTGAATATATATGTATGTTATGAGATAAAAGAGTGAAAACTTATATGTTACTGGTATGCATGTAGACGCCCAAGAGCCAAGACCTGGGGATAACGATTTCCCAAAACATCCCAATCGGCTTCATCGGAAAAGGCTTGATCAACCTTAACACGGCTGGAAAACTATCCCCTTATTCTGTATCATATTTATTGAAACTTCTTTATTTCGAATTCATTCAAATAGCTCAAACATTCCGCCATCAGTATTATGAGATCTGGATGAGCTCTCCGTACGGAAGAAATACGTCCCATTTGTCTTGTTATCTTGACCTAAACCGAATGTCATCATTATTTTCACTTTTGATACGATTATATTTGAAAATGACCGCATCTGGTAAAATTATTTCCTATATTCTCCCGATCTTTTTGTTAGTTAATTATTTCTGGTATTATTTTACTTAATTCTCCTTACTATCTCCATGTGTTCAATCATTTGAACAGAAGCACTAATTTTTATGAGATAACATTATTTAAATGATTACGGGTTGTTAGTGAATTAGATTTACACCTCTTTACTGTATTTACTCACATCCTGTTTCAGATTAGTGGTCACACTGAAATTTGTACAATAGAATTTGATTATCACTAAAGTATAAAAAACATGAAATCGGTTACCAAACAGTAAACTGTACTTATTTTAGCATTCATAACCAAAATATTATTATGAAAAGAACCTTCTCAAATAGTTCATGATTTGAATAGATTTAGCGGCAGAAAAAAGGCACTTCATTGATCAAATTTCAAATATAAAAATATTAAATCTTACTTTATCAGACATTTACATCAAACATTTTAAAGAGAGAAAGAACAAAGATTGGTGCAGAATAATATGAATCCATTTTATTTCGTTAGGTTCTCATTGGCAGATTACAACCTATGATATTTCAAAATGAACATTATTACAGATATTGACATACTTATACATAAGAGGGTGATCAAGAATGAATATATGTATCATGATGTAGCAAAGATTCCGTTAGAGTTAATGAGGTCATAAAATTTTTTGTTTAGAATAAATAAAGTATGGGAGGGAAGGTTCCAGAAGATTGAAATAGTGATTAGAACTCATGTGAAATATGAACAATAACGGGGCGGATTTGCATACATATAGCATACAGTTCTCTTTGAACCTAGCACACAACAATAGCATCATGCACTGTCCCATCTAATGTGTTTTTAATTTCATGAGTTCTAATCACTATTTCAATCTTCTGGAACCTTCCCTCCCATACTTTATTTATTCTAAACAAAAAATTTTATGACCTCATTAACTCTAACGGAATCTTTGCTACATCATGATACATATATTCATTCTTGATCACCCTCTTATGTATAAGTATGTCAATATCTGTAATAATGTTCATTTTGAAATATCATAGGTTGTAATCTGCCAATGAGAACCTAACGAAATAAAATGGATTCATATTATTCTGCACCAATCTTTGTTCTTGCTCTCTTTAAAATAATAAAGGGGACTGTGTGTATGAAACATCAAACACTGTTTAACGGTATGAAGAAAGTATGCGGTAGGTTAAATTAATCATAGTCAGTCTATAAGTAGATGTTAATGTGTAATAAATTAATTTTATTAATCATTATTAAAGATTAAAATAACTCCAATTTGGTATGCTTTCTTTGACGAATGAAAAATTGAATTCACGAGTCGATCTAAGCTAGACCACCATTGAAAACCTGGAAGCACTGGATGCACCATTCGTCATAGTGTGGGGTTCCTCAGCAGTGCGCATCCACGACCCCGCACGTGAAACGTCAACCCACAACCTTCCGTCTCACGCCTAACCCCTAGACCATTGAGCTGGCATCCAAAGGTAGTAATATCTAACTTCGGTCAACCCATGGTCTTGCGCAACCCTTTATCCATTGTTTTCAGTGGGTAACTGCCTCACACCCGACACAGATTGGACTTCATTGGTCATGGATTTGCACTAGAACTTCAGGATATCTATCTTGAAGATAGTCACTAATGAGTACATGACTATTATCAGCTTGGGGATTCGTGGGGATTGTAGTATTTTCACAGTTGAACTCATAAGTCGATCATGGATGCGCACTGTCGAGGAGTTCCATACTAAAACGAAACGGACGTCCAGTGCTTCCAGGTTTTCGATAGTCTTCTAGCTCGTGAATTCAACTTTGAAAATACCACTATCTCCACAAATTCTCAAAATGAAAATGAAAAATTAATGATTGAATTTCAATGATTATTTTAAGTTACATCATTTCGATTAGGTCATCAAGAGTCATGGAAAAAATTTAATTTCTCATACATAATCTTACATCTCATGGGTTTGTGTTTTTGGAAAACATTTGAGTGAATCGAAAGGATAATAATTGAAATATTCAACCTTTAAAGAATGGAATTGCAGGTCTGGACTTAGCTTTACCGAATTCAATATAGACAGCTAAGTAATATTAGCTAACTATTACACATAAAAAGTGTAATTCAAATGGAAATACACAAAATTGTTTTATACTTGACAAATGAGTAATATTATCCTTATTTACATTTATAGCTTGGTATTATTTCAATTTCATGTTCGAAAATTTAAAATAGTTTATTAACACACACTATGACCCAAACAATGAGCTACAATTGGACAAATAACATCAACCAATGTATAAAATACAATTCTAAATAAACTACACATGTTTATAATTTTCTCACTCTGAAAGAGTAACTAACAAACATTCATCAAAAAACACAATTATCACATTATATAATGTAACAGTGTACAAGATCTGCACACCTGAGTTATAGTACGTATTGTTTCACGTGATTTCGATCTTGGATGTAGTTTATTTCGACGACCAAGCGATGAATGCAACGTAGTTGACGCCATACTATCACTTCGTCCAAGTGTAGAACAATATTCAGTTGAATTGTCATAATATGCAGAAAGACGATCAGTCATATCATATGAAATAGTATCATTTAATCCATGCGTAAAATCGGAACGTTGCAATGGAGGTGTTTGATAAAATACGGCTGCATTGGCGGAAATACGTTTAGAATAAGAAGGAATTGTACCAGCAGATGGTAGTCGAGATGTTTTTTCATTTAAATTAGATTTGTCTATACTTTGTAACTGACGACTAGAATCAGGCGATATGCTAATATGATGTAAAAAGACATACAGATGAGGATTGATGAACATCACCCGAATACGAAAATGTAGAAGTACAAGAAGAAGAAGAATGATGATGAATGATGATGACAATGTGGAACAAAATGGTGTTAGGAAAGAAGGTAAGTTATTAGAAATAGAATGTTATATTTTAGATGTAAACAAAATTATTGCCATTTCTGTTGGAAAAAAAGTGTTGCTTCCTGACTTAGATTTGTAAAGGATTAGAAAGAGGCAATATGCAATCTGACAGAGGTTCACGTGCATATACAAACACACTTTGTAATGCAAAATTAACAAATCATATAACACCATTTAAAATAAAGCAATAAATTTAATTTTCCCCAAGAAAAAGTCAATAGAAATCAGATAAAGCGGAAATAACACTGTTAAGGTATATTTTTAGTTAAACAGCTTCAGTGATTAAGGCTTGAATTATTTATGTTAAAAAAGTATGAACAAATGCATGATAAAAGAGAGTAGTGTCAATTTTGTTAGACTATTCTTCCTTACACACACACTCACACACACAAACACATAGACAACGGTTAAGATATTTAACAATTTCATTAAGACGAATTCAGAACCTAAATTATGTAATTAATCTGTCGCCTAATTTTATTCTCCTCCTTCAATAATACAAAAATTACTTTGTATTTTATTGATAGGAAAACAAACTAAGGAAAAAGAATCAATAATTTTACCTCATTATCCATAGATCCACCACGATCGGTTTCATTTAAACTTGTTCCTGGTGTTCGATTAGATCGTTTAAATGCACCTAGTTTGGTGCATGATCGAGTATTTTTTCCTGTAGCAGATGCACCAGAGATTTGGTGTCCTGTTGATGCTGGTATTGTTGTTGTTGATGTAATTCCACTGGAACTGTAGCCTGTTGTTCCACTTGTGGATGATATAGCATTGCGTGATATAGGGATTGCTGGAGAATGACTATATGTATATATGTATATACAATGAATGGAATTATCAAAAGAGTTGTGTAACAAAACATGAGCTATATTTGATTTAAAATTTATGTCATGCATTCATGGACTATGAAGTGTTAAAGACTAGACTTAATAATGGTGCATGTCTAGATGTACTTTCTTACTGGTTTTAATTAAACTTACATTTGACAGAAATCTCAGCTGCTAAACTAAATTTGTTGTTAAGTTATGGTAATATACATTGCTCACTAAGAGAAGATGAGAATAGATAGCTCACAAGTAATGAGTTAAAATACAAGTTATGTAAGCAAAAGAGTGAAAAAACCACAATTATTACTAATTAATTGTGTTTAAACGACTCATGAAGTAGACTAATATCAGTATAGGCTAAAATTGAGCGGTGGACCTGGATTTTTGGTTCTATTAGCAGATAAAACTAACTTCTGTCACTGGAAGTTGTTAAGTTTTCTGAAAATCGGTTTAATTTGTAGGTTGCGTTTGTTACAGATTGATTTCTAGCAGGGTACCATTGGAAACTATGAAACACTGGACAGGTGTTTCGACGTTGTGCGTGACTCCCTAATAGTGGGTACCCAAGCCATAAAAGTTAGAATTCAGGACTGACATGTGACCTTTGCAAGAAGTTTCGGTTTCGTACTAATTGGTATCCGAATTTTTCTTGGGATTATTATTCTTCATAGACTGGTTTTTGCTCACGGCGCCAGGTCGTAACTTTTCAATAAAGTTATTGATATAGATGATGTTAATTATTAATTTATATGCAGATTATTTAGTTCATTTCTTTCCTTGACTAAACAGAAGTTACTCACCCCCAAAGTTTTCAAAAGTATCTATATATATTAGCGAAAGCAAGTTAGTTTACACAGAACTATGACTAGAATCTCATGTTTTAATATTGGTGAAGCTTTCCAAACAAGTCTAAGGCTTTTAATTTTAAGGACCAAACAAATTAGTACAGGATGGATTATCACTAGTCCCTTGAATATTTTGTGGAATAATTATGAAATCATATTTAAAGTATTAGTTCCGTCACAATCTGAAGCTCTAGTTTTCTCTTTTAGGAAGCAGTAGGTGCAAATTAATACAAATACTCCAGGCTACTCACAAGTAGTTAAAAGCGTAATGCAACAAAAAGGTTATGCAATAAAGCGGATGTTAGCGTGCATAGAATATGGTAATGATTAATTTGAATGTAGGTTTCCAAGATTGTCAATAATTATTAGAATATATACGCTAAAAAATCATGCGTCTTTCTCAACACGGAAAAGAAAACATGAATAAGAAACACCGATCATGATGTGATATTCAACACAAAACTATATATACACCAGAATAATTTTTATATTTAGAAAATAACTGTACTTACTCTCTACGAAAATGTACTCGTTGTACGCCTAAATGTGGAACTGTACCACCTATACCGGGTTGTGCAGTCGATAAAGTCATATAACGCGTTTCCCAATCTTCACCAGTAGCTTGTTGAACCATACCATAATAAACTATCTGTAATAATTATAAATAATTTAAAAATATTGAACATGAAACTGTTATTCAGTTATTGGTATATTCGGATTATGGAATCTATGTTTGCACATATAATTCTATTTATAATTGGTGTGTTGATTTTGTTTATAGACAAATATAAACATCTGTATACATTTAGACTGGTCAATTGTGCAACTGATGTGATAATGTGTTATAATTCATACTTTTAAATATAATGTTGGTTAAGAAAACAGGAATTTCAACAAAATTTCAACATGACGTTCATATATTACAAAAAATTATAGAGAAATTAGATAAATTCATTGATAGAATAGTAAATTATGGGCTGCTATTCACAAACTGTGAATAGTTACTACCTAGATTGAATCATAAATGTTTACCAACAGTACATCTGCCATATCATTCTTTCCAGCCTAACATGTTTATTTCATAAATCTGAAGGTAATAAACCCTCGATTCTTTGAAGGATAGAGGAGGAAGAAGATATTTAAGTCACGGCGGTGGTAACCCTTGAAACTCTCAGTAACTAAATCTTCAATAACTTTTTAACATTTCATGAAAATGTACAAGTGATTAGCAGACAAAATCGCTTTAGTGAAGAAATCTAACAGAGGAACAGTTCTAACAATAAATGCGCTTTTGAGAAAATGATGTCTCCGAAGTTTAAGCTGGTATTCACACTGATTTGGGAAACTCGAATTATCGTTGTAGACAATATCACAGATTTCTACTTTAATTATAAGTGAGGCTTTTATAAAAACCTGTAAATTTTGAAATTCAGACATACAGAATATTTCAAATCTAGAAACTAATGATCAAAATGAAAAAGGAATACTGAAATGTTGCTACCAGGCGAATCCATGACACCCGTTCCGATTTTCCTGAAACTTGTCAACCCGATGTACCTACATCACACAGTTTTGATATCTGTAGTCAGACTCAAATCTAGTTTCTTTTGATTCGAACGCCAAAGCCTTAAATACATCAAGCTACTGAGTCTAGAAAGCGTCAACTTATTCAATAAGTATGTTTTTTACATCATTATTAGTAAGGGTTTCAATAATCTAGTTCCTGATGTGTCCCAAACAGGATGTAACGCACATTCAGGTTTTCACTACTGAGCACAATCCATCTGTTTTGTTAGATGTGTGATGAAAGTGATTATATTGAAAAACTTTGCATAGCATGCATATATATAAACAAAAACTGATCAAAATTGAATCCTAAACAACAACCCGTTACTAATGATGATATGGAAATGAAATTAGAAATCGAAAAGATAAAAATCCGTTAGTTTATGACAGAAAACTATTCAAGAGGTGAGTTAAGCTAAAAAAGAAAACCCAGAAAAGATATCTGGTATATCAATAATGATTTATAGACACTCAGCATAACATTTTCAAAGACTAGTTGTTTCTATTTTCTTGTCTTCTTCATAATCAGTAAAGTTATAATCATAATTATGCTAATCAGTACACTAAGAATACAAGTTTTGTTAATGATTAACCTAACATCGATAAATACATAGCATTCAGTCAACAGTGACCGTTAATAGATGATCATATATCACTGAACGGTGCATTATGGATTAGTTTTTAACAATCAGAACATATTATGTGACCTTCATGAACAGTTTATCCAGTTCCTTGCACTTCATATATTATCTACAATGATGTGGATGAATGTGACTGTAACATTAATAACGATGAATCCAAGTTTTTTTTTAAAAATAATCAGTAGATCTGTAACACCTAATAAACACATTTTTTGAATCATTAATATAAATCACAATAACATTTTGTATTACACAAACTGCTGAATTATTAGAACTAGATGGTTTGACTGAGAAGCTTTCATTATTGTTCTGGACAATATTATTCATATTTACTTCATGAAGAGGTAAACTTTCTAGTTATTTCACTACTGAAGAGTCCTTTACTAGGATGAAACAGACGTCTAGCGCTTCCAGGTTTTCAATGGTCGTCTAGCTTAGATCGACTCATGGATTCAACTGTTAATATTGCGTAAGTGTAAAATCATTTCGTTTTGATGATCTTGTTTCATTTCTACATAAAAATGAACAATGATTATGTTCTTCTGCATGGCAATGAAAGCATTAAAACTGAATTATCTAGATTAGAAAACTCAGCAATACCACAAGTAACCACCTGAATTCCAGGTCTTATGTATCATTTCAATAACTGAAATTATCTAAAAGTTGATTATCACTGTATTAATAAGTTTGTTGAGGCTGTTTCATCAACATTATAAAATATTGAAAATGCTCAACAGGAAACACTTTATTCAAAGTACTTTCTTTACAGTTAATCAACACTGAGATATTCAAATCTATATAGATCTTTGGATTGTGGCTAGATTCAGTTTCTTAAACACCAGGCTAAATCTACACAGCAGCTTGAGCACAAGAGAAAAGGCGCGAAATATGCAAGGAACACTTTAATCCAAGGTGTGTTTATGTACAGAAAACCTAGGCCATTGTCTTCCGGAAAATTCTAGAACGCTATTAAACTTAGTAGCAGTATAAGGAATCATCCAATCAGAAACGCAACATGTGACTTTTCACTTCCTACATGTTTCTGGCAAAACATCTATTGAATACTGATTGGATAAGATGTTTTTCAGCGTTTTCAGAGCACCTTTTGGTGTTTTTTTTGAAAAATTTTCTGGATCTCCCCAACGATATTAACAATCAGCAAGTTATACATTTCACAGGTCAACATATTACACACGAATTATTTCGGTCTTGAGCTCAGTCTAGATCAAGGAGTTGAACAATTATGCTTTATACAGTAGTTCACTTTTCAGTTGATATTCAATCTATATGGTCATTAATGATGTGAATTTACGTTATTATAACCAATTACCCGAAACTAACTAATGTTATCCCTGGTACTAAATAAATTTTTTTCGATGAATAAACTACAAATGAAATCTGTATTAAAATTCTTTGTATTTGATAAGTAATGATTGGAACATTACAGTAGGATGTAGTAACCTGAAAGTCAACCGTAAAGTTTACCTCTAACTTGGATGAAAATGATAGCCTATCAGAGATTCATATGTTAAATGAAAAAAGAGAGCATTAAAGCCTCATTCATGTGACTTCCCTATTGATTCAATCAGGTCAAGAAATTATCTTTCAGATCGATTACAGATATATCTAACTTGAATTTTAAAAAATGACAGTTTTCATAAGATTTACAATACCTTGATACATTTTTTTCTTTTTTCAAAAGAAACTGGTCTTGTCAAGCATTCCAGCATATTCTAGTTTCAGTTTAAAGCTGTTTCACTATATTATTTATTGAGTTAAAAATAAAACTGTTTCCACTGTGTAGTATCACTATTCTTTTATTCTATTTGGTTTCTACAATCCAGCACACAAACACATAAATATGACAAGATAAAAAACTATTTTATCTCTATACAAGAAACTATGACACGATAACAGTAATAATTAAATATTAACTAGTGACTAGATTCGAGAGACTTCGTGAATTTCAAATGAGAAACAGACATTTAATGAGTCAAATATTGAGATCATGAACCGATCAATATTAGACCACCAATGAAAACCTGGGAGCACTGGACGGCCGTTTCATCATAGTATGGAACTCCCAAGCAGTGCACATCCACGATTTCGCACGTGGGACCCCAACTTAGGACTTTTAGTGTTGTGCGCAACTCTGAGATTTCCCATACTGGGACGAAACGGCCGCCCAGTGCTTTCAGGTTTTCAATTGTGGTCTAACATTGATTAGCTCATGATCTCAACCACAACTCAACAATTTCCACAAACCTATACTGATAAGTCTAATATGTTATACCAGGAAATGCGGACGCACACATACAAACATTTACATAAGCAAACAAACACACAATTTGTTACAAAAGTAGAAATTCTTCATCAAGCAAAATCATTAATAAAAACTTAAAAGCCATGATAAAGTGAACACTTTTGATAATTTTAATAATAAAAATGGAAAGTTTACAAAAACCTCCAGAATCTAACTGTGGGTTTATTTTTTCTTTTCACTTAAGAAAAATAAAGTTTATGGGCTGTTACTATACCATCCGGTTATTTTCGGTTTTTCAGTAAGAAGAGTGAATTTGCCTTGTCAAATGTATTTCTTTACTCTTTACTATCTTTTATTCAACTCCAAACAGTATGTTATGTAAAATCAGATCATACTTTCCTTATTGCTTACTAGTGAATATTTGAAACTACCTATAGATTGATGATAAAATAATTGTCGATTAATAGAACAGTTAAGGATCTCTAGCAATCCTCACTGACGAAACCGCTAATGACCGAACTCTGGATCTTCAGATCTGTCGCGGTGAAGCCCTAACATTTAGAATCTTGAGTGCCCATTTAATGGTTTATACTTAGTTTCAATCGATCCAATGGTACAATTTCGATTTCAATAAATTTGAAATATTATACAACGAACGTATAGTGAGAGTTCATTAGTGTACGCACTACTTAGAAATTCAACGCCAAAACACAACAGTTATCCAGTGCTCTCTGGTTCGCAACTGTAACTCAAGTGAGATCATCCTATAACGAATAGAACCTAAAAACTGGACCAATTTGACAAAACTCCTATAACCAGATTAATAAAGCATTTACAATATAAATGATCATGATTTTTAAAGGTACACATACACACACAAATGCTGGTGTGGTGTGAGCTACTTATATCCGCATAAGTAGTATATAACGACGGTCAGACATAGGATGTATTTCAGTAGATCAAGGAGGAAAGAACAGGAACAAGAAGCAAATGGTATGAAAATATATGAACAATGAAATCTGAGACAATGGACTGATATTTGCAGAAGGAACAGTCAAGCTTGAGACGAGGCATTGATATTTTGCAAATTAACTATTTACTATATAGTTCTCAGTTTTTATTGAGATGCTCTGTAATTTCATGCTCAAATACATTCGGTTGTCATTGCTCGTGTTCTTATTCACTGCAGCGACATTTAAAATTATATGAAAATTATTTTCACTGTGAACTGATATCACTAACCGACTGTTGAAAATTGAAATACTCTGAGCAGTATATAGTTATTAGTTAAGGTTGTTGGTAATTATGAGGAACTTTTAATCAATCTCTGTCGGTATATATGTATCTTATGTTGATTTTTCTTGATACAACCATTTGTTAAAAGTATTATACAGTAAATCAAATATTGCTAACAGTTTAGTCTTATCCATCGATCAGCCTATTGTCATAATTCGTCACTGACTGATCATAGTTATGATACCATTGAAACAAAGGAAATTAACTTTGAAATTTTAGTGAACTAAGATTTAATTAAATGACATGTTCCTTTTTACAATTGTTTGTAGTGGCTGATACTACGTCAAGCACACATAGATTATTCTAGCTTCTGGCCAGATTAATTTATTCATTCTTCTCAAGCCATATTTTTACCTTGATTGTTCGCTTATTAACCTTAACTGTTTTTATATGATTGTATGTGTCGTTAACTGCTCACTCTATTTATCACGTGTCTGTAACTTATTTTCGGTATAACAATGTATATTGAGTTACTCTTGGTCAAGTCGAGTTGGCTCACTCGCCTTCTCCGCTGCGATGGATGTATGAAATATACGTATTCTAAATTAATTCTCGTATTTGGCTTATTTTATTCCGTTATTTTCTAAGGCGAATTAAGTCGATATAAATATATGAGGATTAGCAGCATTTATATTTCGATAACAATCGGTATAAGATTTAACTGGAGTCAGATACAAAAGCCACAAAAAGTTATTAAATTCATATTTATTTTTAATAATATAAAAAAGAACCTACTTTCATTGTTCCATCATTGTTAAAAATACGAATATCATAAGCTGGTTTCCATCCACAACGATTTACCACGTAAGAAACAAGCATTTCAACTTGACCTGTTTCTCTTGGTTCAACAAGTACACTTAATTCTCTATCAACAAAATTGAGAAGAAAGTAAAGAATAAAACAGTAACAATCAAATAAAAGATATATATATATATATATATATATATATATATATATATAAATCCATTTCATTGATTGTTTTACTATACATAGAAACTACGTGCCAAGGAGATACTAAGCTTTAAAGAACAAAAAAGGAAGACCTTTATTTTGAAAAAAATGTAAAGATGATTGATTGATCAATTCAACTTTATAGTATAGGAATTTTGAAGTTTTCTATCACAAATAACTGATGAAAACTAGAAACTAGTGTACATAATATACTCATTAGTGACATCTTTCAAGAGATAATCCTTAGTGTTCTAGTAAGAGGCTATGACAAATGGACTTTAAGCATATTGTACGCAAAGCATTTACTCCATCCAATGATACTGAAAGATGGTTATGCAATATCACGAACTGATTGAAATTAGACATGTTAACTATCAGATGCCAACTCAATAGTCTAAAGGTTAAGGCCTAGTTGGAAGACCAGGTTCTTGTTTCAATCCCTGATGGGATCATGGACAAGCACTACTTTGGAAACTCATACTAAGATGAAATAGTTGTCCAGTGCTTCTTGGTCTTCAATGGTTGTCTGACATACATAAGTTCGTGATCTGAACTATAATGTTAAGTAATATTCACAGACTCTCTATTACTAACAAATTAATTCTCATCATAGGCATAAAGTATCCATTAAAAATTAGGTAAAACTGGACAGTAGCATTCTTTCGCTGTTGTTTTTGAAATTGTTAACCAGTAAAAAAAAAACATAAAATCATAATGGATTTAAATCAAAAACACTTAAATTTATTGGTAAAGCTAGATTATGATTAGCAGTGGAATCCACGTTTCGTTTTATTTGAGACTCGTCAGCTAGATGTACTTACATTTAAATTTATTGACGAACATGGTACGTTTTTTCTGAAACTAGGTAAGAAATTGATGGTAAAATTATCATTTAATATCATTAGAAAAACTACCGATTTAATTTAAAAGTGATGACATGAGTAGGTCATGAATTTTAGGTAGAATGATCATATATTCACTAATGACTGGAGTAGAAATGAAATTCTGGAGCTAAAAATAAGAATTTCCGACTGATTGAGTCTTTCATATCGAGAGACAAACATCACTGATGCGATGATAAAACCAACGTTAAGCATTGTGAATAATTAGTCGAAATCGAAAATGACAATCTTAAGAATCGAATTTTATTCGTTCTTTTCTATCTAGAACTAAGGGTTCTCTTAGGAAAGGAGTCCAAAAGTGGAACACAACAATAGTCCAAGGATAAATCTCTGTAAACCTACCATTTTAATGATTAGACTATATTTCAACGTCAAGCACATTTCATCCAATATTTCTACTAGATGTCAATTAATTAAAAGTAATGATCAATTTTCACCGGTAACTAAAATCTATGACATAATTACGGTGTTTATCTAATGTGTTCTCATCAGAATATTATAGAAATGGAACGATATACGTCATCAGTTTCTGTATCATACTTGCAGTATTACAAGATATTCTGTTTTGTAAATAATAGAAGAGTAAGTCACAGTACATCAAATTTCAACTACCTTGAACAAGAGGCGTAGGGACTTTCATATCTAATTACTTAGCTCCGAAACAAAAAAAGATCAAATGTTGACTAGAAAACTGGATTGAATCCAAGAAAAAATAACATAAAATGAGCTAGCTTTTATTGTCCAAATATAATGTAAATATATTTACAATATTTTTACAAACCCTCCAAGACAATAGCATCAATGAACTAATAACAACATATGTCTGACTGCGGACAAACAAATACATAATACGGGAAACTCTTTGAGGCTGTTACATAGACAAATTGTGATGTGTGATGTTTATTAAGTAGGTATGTGAAGCATATTGTTTTTTTAAACAATGTCTTAAATTCAGGTCATTATCTAAAATACTGGAGACTGATAGGTCCTGGGTTCGAATCCCGCGAGGTGGGATCGTGAGTGCGCACTACTGAAGAGTCCCACAGTGGGAAGAAATGGCCGTCCAGTGCTTCCAGGCTTTCCATGGTGGTCTATCTTCAATTGACTCATGATCCCAACTATTAAAACTAAAATACTTCTGCTTATTTTTTATACAAAGAAGCGTCCACATACAAAATGTTATACCTACAACATTTTGTTGTTGTAGGCTAATCAGAAATCGGCCAAATAAGTGTGTATGATTGGCCAAGAAGTGTTTACTATTTCTAAGGGACGATCGCTGATTTTCTTTAAGAGACAGGAATATACATATAAATGAATATACACATATACGGATTAATTCAACCAATAAAATCTTCCATCTCACTCTCCGTCTTCTTACTCGAGCAGGTAATGGGGCTCGTTTATGGGAAGCTTGTGTATCAGTATCGGACAATCAACAACACACCACAATCATTGAAGATAGAAACCACCGCGACTGCATCAGCATAACAAAACAATCGAAAAATGGATTGATAGAAAGTCACATTAATTACCATTGCTTACATAGACGGAGGAGATGACAAACCTCGACATGAACTCAAGAACCTGATTAGTAGCTTGGATTTGTGTAGGGTTTTTTTACAGTTTTCTGGGGAGAATCTACATGAGTAATTTTATCTGAGTTTTATTGAAAAGTTCTTAGTGTTACAGAAGAATCACGTTTATACTCAACTTGATTAAAAATTGCGCACAGTATTTACTGTTAAGTGTTCAAAAGTATCAAAAACGTGGATTATCGTAATTTACATGATATTTCCACATTAATGCGTAATTGCCAATCCAGCTACCTCTGAGGAGGAAGCTATATCGGGCTTAAAACCAAACAGTTTTACTTCCTCCCGTGGTTTGCAGAGGGTCTGACAAAAGTCATACGCAGATCTGTTTTACCACATTTAGTGGATAGTAGCTATGAGCAAGACAAAATCAAAGCATTCAAAGCGATTTATCAAATATCATCAAATTTTCAGTGGCATTTGCTTTATCTTACATATGGTGGAAGCTAATATAGATTTTAAACCGATAACCGCAGACCATGTATTCAGAAAACGTTTATGATATCACTGTTGTTCCTACTTTGGATAGAAATTATTTCTTTTCAACTATTAATTTAGAAAGCTTATTTTTTAAAAGCACTAACCTACCACCTATGTCAACATATTATCCCTATCACTAACAATACACTTGTCGTTTTAATATCAAATTGTACTTTCTACCTATTAAGATTACTTATGTAATCCTTTGTTTTATTGTTATCACTGGTTCATAAACTGCCTTGATTAGTCTAAATTATTTTCTTACATACATAGCTGATGAAGATTTGACTGAAAATAACATTGTTTGATCATATGTGTTATTCTAATGGTTAAATAGCTGTGCCTACAACGATACGGTTATTTCATACAAAAAAATCTTTGTTATTTCATTAGTTAATAGGAGCTTTTTACTGTTTCTTTTTTTGTGCGTGTATTTAATACTAGTTAAATAGAATGGATAAGACTTATAGCACGAACACATAGTCACAATCAACTGCTCAATTTTTCTTATTCCTCCATTATTTTATAATCGTATAGGTATACTTACTTATTATTGTACCGGAGAAAAAAAGATGACAAACGTTCAATATGTAAAATGTTTAAACGCACAGATAAACACACATACATATACGGAACTACACAACAAGAAACATTCAATCAAACTATATATATATATTTCTACTCTGTCATAGAATGAACAAAGCATTTTGCTCCTTCCGATATCGATTCATTTGAATAAACTAATTCAATCGACAATTTCTACTGATGGTATAAATATGTTAGTTAATTCATTTCTTTCCCAAATATGAATATTCCTTTGGGTAATATGTACGTACGTATTTACATAGAGTGTTTATAGGAAAAAAATAAAAATGTCTTTTGAAAAGAATGTTCATCTTTGTAAACAAATCAATGGTTGAATTGGATGTTGCTGTTATTTACCCAAATTATTGGCCAATCAGATACAAATATTATTTTAAGGCAAGAATAATCAATAACCTTTATGAGAACGCTACTTCAATTTATAAACACTACTTATCTAATGTGTAATTAAAAAAAAAAAGGATACATGGACAGCTGATATGGAATCAAACTAGCAAATGACAGAAGTTAATAAAAGAGAACAGTTAAATGAAAAGAGACAGATAGTCGGAATGCTTAAAGTTTATCCGAGTGAGATTAGTATTGATATGTAGTAATTGTACTCGTAAAGTGATAAATGACATTGATAACTTAAGTTAATCTAAATTACCATTTTATTTGTTCGTTTATGAATGAGTTCTATATTGTGCCAAAATATGATACCGAATAAAGCCATTAATAATAATGCACCATTTTTTATGATGTTTAGGAATAAACATTTAATAATTTGTCAGCTTAGACATTTATTATTCCACCTAATATCTAGTTTTTTAATATGATAAACCAATCAGAAGTAGACTAATGAGAAGATCAATCGATGGCGATCAGAAGTTATCCAGGGGACAAGTGGATTTCATTGACCTAGAAATGGACCAATTCCCTAAGGGTTAGGGTTTAGAGTGGTAGCTAAATATACTTTCTCGCTTACTCTTGTATACCCACTTAAGTAGTCAGCTGAGGGGTTAGCGAGTAGCATACAGTGTATAGGTATCAGTTTGCCGACAGTGCTCGTCGCAACAGTCTCACTGTTTAATAAGATATGAAAATACGTCTATATTTAATTTACTATTATTTAAATCAAGAATTAATCTTAGAAAATAACCAGATATGAATAAACATATTAATTTATCTATACCTAAAAATATTGAGAGAAAAAAAATAGTAGTCTGGATGTTTTGAATAATTTTCAATTAATCGATAAGAAATTCTAGACCCTTGATGATAACTGATGTTTAAACTGGTCGATACTGTGTTAACATTTGATTTATTTAAATAATTAGAATTAATTATCTTGC